ACTGAATAACAACCCCCTCTGCTACTTCACTGACCAGATCAATATCCCAGGAGTTTCATTGATTTGATGCTAAATTCTGATTAAAAAGTGTTACTTTCATTTTTTGGAGCAGTGTATTTTATTGTGATTTTATGTGATAGACCGGCACAAAGTGGCACGTAATTGTGAAGTGGAAGGAATATATCTGAGAAGTGTGGTGTGCATTTGTATTCAGCCCCCTTTACTCTGATACCCCTAACAAAAATCTAGTGGAACCAATTGCCTTCAGAAGTCACCTAATTAGTAAATAGTCTACCTCTGTGTCATCTCAGTATAAATACAGATGTTCTGTGAAGCCCTCAGAGGTTTGTTAGAGAACATTGGTGAACAAACAGCATCATGAAGGCCAAGAAACACACCAGACAGGGCAGGGATAAAGCTGTGGAGAAGTTTAAAGTAGGCTTAGGTTATTTAAAAAAAAAAAAAAAAAAAATCCCAAGCTTTGACCATCTCACGGAGCACTGTTCAGTCAAACAGCCTAAAACGAAGAGTATGGCACAACTGCAAACCTACCAAGACATGGCCGTCCACCTAAACTGACAGGCTGGGCAAGGAGAACATTAATCAGAGAAGCAGCCAAGAGGCCCATGGTAACTCTGGAGGAGCTGCAGAGATCCACAGCTCAGGTGGGAGAATCTGTCCACAGTACAATTATTAGTTGTGCACTCCACAAATCTGGTCTTTATGGAAGAGTGGCAAGAAGGAATCCATTGTTGAAAGAGAGCCATAAGAAGTCCTGTTTGCAGTTTGCGAGAAGCCATGTGGGGGGAACAGCAAACTTGTGGAAGAAGGTGCTCTGGTCAGATGACACCAAAATGTAACTTTTTGGCATAAAAGCAAAACACTATGTGTGGTGGAAAACTAATACTGCACATCACCCTGAGCACACCATCCCCAACGTGAAACATGGTGGTGGCAGCATCATGATGTGGGGATGCTTTTTTTTTTTTTCAGCAGGGACCGAGAAGCTGGTCAGAATTGATGGGAAGATGGATGAAGCCAAATACAGGGCAATCTTAGAAGAAAACCTGTTAGTCTGCAAAAGACTTGAGACTGGGGCGGAGGTTCACCTTCCAGCAGGAGGATGGCCCTAAACATACAGCCAGAGCTACAATGGAATGGTTTGGATCAAAGCATATTCATGTGTTAGAATGACCCAGTCACAGTCCAGACCCAAATCCAATTGAGAGTCTGTGGCAAGACTTGAAAATTGCTGTTCACAGACGCTCTCTCCATCCAATCTGACAGAACCTGAGCTATTTTGCAAAGAAGAATGGGCAGAAATGTCCCTCTCTAGATGTGCAAAGCTGGTAGGGACATCCCCAAAAAGACTTGCAGCTGGAATTGCAGTGAAAGGGGGTTCTAGAAAGTATTGATTCCGGGGGGCTGAATACAAATGCACCCCACACTTCTCACAGATTTGTAAATGTTGTAAGCCATTTATAATTTATACTCTCAATGCACTGTAGCCCTCAATGTAAGATGACTTGCCATGCACTCTGGGTGGCCATCTTAGCAGAGGCATGTTTTATGTTCTCATGTCAGAGCCTCCATCATGGAGAACAGAGATTGCCAAATCTCCCAGATCTTATGAGACTAACTAGCAGTCAGAGGCGGCAGTGCTATCATATAGGGGAACAGTAGCTCCAAATGTGTTATGTTTTACTTGGTCACAGGTTCTGTTGGGCCTCATGCGCACACAGCTCTTCTCAACGCATTTCTCTACGCAGAAGAAAAGCAATGTTAAATGGATAGTTCCCCTTCAACAAAGAACTGCATATGCATGTAAGGGGCGTCTGGATAAAAACAAACTGTCTCTGACTAAAGTTGAATAATGTCCTTCCTATAGGTCAGTGGTTCTCAACCTGTGGGTCGCGACCCCTTTGGGGGTCGAATGACCCTTTCACAGGGGTCCCCTAAGACCATCAGAAAACACATATTTCCGATGTGTAAAGAGCAGCTACTGTGTTGAAAGCAGCTGCTGTGTTGAAAGCAGCTGCTGTGTTGAAAGCAGCTGCTGTGTTGAAAAGCAGCTGCTGTGTTGAAAGCAGCTGCTGTGTTGAAAGCAGCTGCTGTGTTGAAAGCAGCTGCTGTGTTGAAAGCAGCTGCTGTGTTGAAAGCAGCTACTGTGTTGAAAGCAGCAGTATTGGAGGTAAAACGAGACTCATGAATTATAATTACTGGGTAAATAATTTTATGGTTGGGGGTCACCACAACATGAGGAACTGTATTAAAGGGTCACGGCATTAGGAAGGTTGAGAACCACTGCTATAGGTGTAGGCCGTTTACGTACCTCCATGAAGCCTGACTGGAATACTCCCAGGACGTTGCTAGGTGAGGCCTAGTCATTACTGCTCACCTCCACCATTACAGGAGTGAGCTTTTCCTGATTCCGACCCCCTCACATTCTTTGTAGTAGCTCTAAGCTCAGCGTCTGAGAGCTCTCTTGTGATGGTGGAGGCGCGCAGCAATGACTAGGCCTCACTTGGAAATGTCCTGGGAGTATTCCAGTCAGGCTTCATGAGTTATGAAAATGGCCTACACCTATAGGAAGGACATTAATCCACTTTAGGTAAAGCTGTGCAGTTTATCTAGACACCCTTATTTGCTATTTTTTGGTAATTGTGAACTAACCATTTGAGGTCTGCTGCAGATGGGAGTAAAAAATGCTGAGGTGTTGTGTATTGTGTTTTTTTGTTTTTTTTATTATTTGAAATAAGATGTATTGTGTCTATGGGACATTGCACACAGCTGAGTAAAGATCAGTAATACAGCATTGAGAGCAGTAAAACAAATAGAACATTTTTCATGAATGAAGTAACTTACTTTACTTGTGTGTTACTCATTGGGCACATGGGCATCAGTATAAATACAAATATATTACAATACTGGCAATGAAGAAGCATTTTACTCCTCTATACGGTCTTTATAGTATTTGGCCCCTTGCACCGAGGCGTCCAAGTTCCTGAGTAAACATCCGTAAATTATGACTTCTGTGTACAAAGGGGCCTTAACCACTTCCCAACTGGTCGTTGCATATAAACGGCCGGACGGTGGCACTGCAGGGTCGGGTGGCCGTTTATAAACGGCCTCCCCGCACCCTGCTTGTGCACGCTCCCTGGGAGCGTGCAGCACCGCGATCCGGTGCCCGCTGTGTCCTCCGGACACAGTGAAACACCGATCGTCGGACGGGACCTCTGTACGAGGTTCCGATCATGTGATCACTGATTGGCCAATCAGTGCTCACATGCAAAGTAGTAAGCAAGATGCCACTTCTGACATCATTGCTTACTACGTGTGAAATCTGTGAATGATCACAGAGGTCACATGGTACAAGGCTATTCACAAAAGCCTTGTACCATGTGACAAGCTGTGACCAATCACAGCTCACTCAGTACTTCTCAATGAGTGCAAGAATGCACACAGAGAGAAAGAAAAATGATTGCTTTTACATCCTATATGGGTGTAAAAGCAATCGGTGTAAAAAAAAAAAAAAAAAAAAAATCTTCATCACCCCCCACAAGTAGTACGGTGTCACTATGGTGACCCTGTACTGCTAGGGTGACAGTATGTAAAAAATAAAAATAAAAAATATAAAAATGTAAAAAAAAATGTTTAAAAATTATAATTTTTGGTTATAAACTAATTTGGATTTTTTTTTTTTTTTACTAAAAAGATAACGGAATACATTTTGGCTAAGATTTATGATGAAATATTATTTATTTGCAAAATTTTATATAAAAAAAACACTTTTTTTCAAAATTTTTGGACGTTTCATTTACATAGCAAAAAAAAATACAAATCCCAGTGGTGAATAAATACCACCAAAATAAAACTTTATCTGTCTGAAAAAAATGGTAAAAAATTCATTTGGGTACAGTGTTGCATGACCGCGCAATTGTCATTCAAAGTGTGATAGCGCTAAAAGCTGAAAATTGCCCTGGTCAGGAAGGGGGTAAATGTGTCTGGTCTGTAAGTGGTTAAAATACACCTAAAGCCGCGTTTTTCAAAATGCGGTCAGATGCATTAAGCACCGGGCATTCATTTTATTGGCCAGACGAGTCTTTTATTCTGGCTATTGAATGCTTGAGTGCTGAACATGCCTAGCATTTAGATGCATCGGAAGCCAAATGCTTCCCTCATGAACAGCATTGATTTCTGCCTCCTAGATGCCTGTGTGTGCATGGCTTACATAGAGGGATGTTTATGGGCAGGATAAAAACTTATAACAACTGCAAAACTAGTGTGGGCTTATTGCATGAGGCCTTAGACTCTTGTCTCTTCTTGTCTCTCTTTTCTCCACTGAAGCTAATGAAGCACAACGAATAGGTGAATGTATCTGGAGGTCCATGGTAGTGATCGGACAGCTATACAGCCACTGGATCTCTTCCACCTAACAGCCTGCTTGTCATATGTATGCGTATTTATGGCTGCTGTAGCTGAGTGTGTAAAAACCCCGATGTTGCTGACTTCTGACATCAGTGGCAGTAAAAGGAATAAAGTGTTCCTAAACCCACAACAGTAAAATCAGTCTGTATATGCAGTAAAGCATGCTTGTTATACTCACTGTGGAACCTAAGGGGTTAATCCTTTGCATTGTGTAAGGATGTTTGATCCTGTCTTTTCTGATCCTCCCCTTCTACTGTCCCCAATCCATCTGTTGATAGAACAGAGCCTTGGCAAGCTGCAAATGCTCAGTTTGGTGTGTGTTGCTAGAGTTTATTTTTTCTTGAGCGTGCATGTGACCAGCACAGGGCCAATCAGCGCTGTCCAGACAGAGGGTCAGGGGTTATGCAGCCTCATAGGACAGCCAGCAGAATGAAAATTAGTCCACACTTTAACCAGTGCTTTGCTGGACACTCATAGAAGTCACAAGACTGCTCTAACTGCTGATTTAGAAAAGGTATTTAGCAGTTTATATTTACTAAAATAATTGCATTTCCATGTCCTGTGTACTGTGGGAGAGCGGATATAGTGAATGCAGGGTCTGGGGAGAGCGGATATAGTGAATGCAGGGTCCAGGGAGAGCGGATATAGTGAATGCAGGGATCCGGAGAGACCAGATATAGTGAATGCAGGGTCTGGGGATACCAGATATAGTGAATGCAGGGTCTGGGGAGACCAGATATAGTGAATGCGGGGTCCGGGGAGACCGGATATAGGGAATGCAGGGTCCGGGGAGACCGGATATAGGGAATGCAGGGTCCGGGGAGACCGGATATAGGGGCAGGGTCCGGGGAGACCGGATATAGGGAATGCAGGGTCCGGGGAGACCGGATATAGGGAATGCAGGGTCCGGGACCTGGGGATATAGGGACCGGATATAGGGAATGCAGGGTCCGGGGAGACCGGATATAGGGAATGCAGGGATCCGGAGAGACCGGGTATAGTGAATGCAGGGTCTCGGGAGAGCATGGGGACATGGGGAATGCATGGGGGTCCGGGGAGAGCGGACATGGGGAATGCGGGGTCCGGGGGAGAGCGGACATGGGGAATGCGGGGTCCGGGGGAGAGCGGACATGGGGAATGCGGGGTCCGGGGGAGAGCGGACATGGGGAATGCGGGGTCCGGGGGAGAGCGGACATGGGGAATGCGGGGTCCGGGGGGGGAGAGCGGACATGGGGAATGCGGGGTCCGGGGGGAGAGCGGACATGGGGAATGCGGGGTCCGGGGTTTAGTAACACGTTATAGGATAAGTACACATTAAGACAGTCTTATCTTTTTCGCCTCTTTATCCTAACTCATCTTCCTCCATCCAGCAGTTGCTGCCTCTAGTGATTGTTTACATCCTGGCCATGCCTTTGCCTTACATCGATATAGACTTCTATAGGACGGTGTCCTGGGGCCAGAGAAGCAGGGAGAGGAATGGGCTGTACCCCATAGGTGTGGCCAGAATGTAAACAACCGCTGGAGGTCTTCAGATTGAGGTAAATCTATGTGGGGAGGGGTAGCTTATTTTGAGTCGGGATACAAAGGTTAGGTCCACTTATCCTGTACATTTTAGAAGTCACGCTGGGGACCAGCCTGTTTAGGGACTTGAGCACACAGGAGCTTATTGTTCCACACACCTTTTTCAATGGTCATCTGTCAGATGGGCCTGTGGGGTTTAGCATTGTGTTGTGGATATTTCTGGTGGAGATGCTAAAAATAAAACCAAGTATGGGCTAGATAAAATGGAAGACCACAAAGTGAAGTTCAGCTTTCAGCGCTATCGCACTTTGACAATTGCACAGTCCTGCAACATTGAACCTATATGAAATTTGTTATAATTTTTTTTTCACACAAATAGAGCTTTCTTTTGGTGGTATTTACTCGCCGCTGGGTGTTTTATTTTTTGTGCCATAAAAAAAGAGTAAACATTTTTTTCTTTGTTTCTATTATAAAATTTTGCAAAAAGGTAATGTTTCTCCTTCACTGATGTGCGTTGATGAGGCAGCACTGCTGGGTGGCACTGGTGGGTACAGTGGGTGGCACTGCTGGGCACTTGTGGGTGGCACTGGTGGATGGCACTGCTGGGCACCGATCATCAGTGCCCTGATGATTGGTGCCGATCCCTCCTCTGACAACTGCCAGTTCTCGGCAGTACTTTCCTCATACTGTGACAGCGTGAGCAAAGTGCAGTCGATAACTGGCAATTGCATTTCCCGGTGATCAGTGTGTCATTACACAGCTGATCACGTGGTAAAAGGCTGCTGTGATTGGCCTTTTACAATATCATGTGATCGGCTGTGTCCGTAGGACACAATGATCATGGAGATCGCCGGGTGCATGCCCCCGGGGGGTGCGCAGGAGAGCGCGTTCTGGGAGGACGTCTTATGACACCCTCCCAGAACTGGCCAGCCTCAGTGAAGCCATCATTCAGCTATCTGCGGTCAGCAAGTGGTTAAACCTCCGCCAAAAGAAGTGGACTCTAGGACTTAACTTTTATTCCTCCAAATGGTCCCTTGTGTCTGTCTGACTGCAGAGGGTACATTAGATTGCAAGCTTCTTCAGCTGATTGGTGATTCTGTTGGTTTGGGGCGCTCTATGTAGCTTTAAATTCATGCTTTCCCTGTAGTGTGTGTTTTTAGAATGTGACATTAAAGCATGTATCCTGTATTTTCCTTCTTGCAGGTCTCTCAGGCGGCCGCTGACCTGAAGCAGTTCTGTATGCAAAATGCACAACATGATCCATTACTAACTGGAATTTCATCAAGCACAAATCCTTTCCGACCCCCGAAAGTTTGCTCTTTCCTGTAATGTGTATTTTTCGCTCTATGGTGAGTACATGGTTTATACTGTGTATACTTCTATGTATCATCGCAGAAGCTGCACTGTCTAATGGCATGTAATACGTTTGGTGTGCTTGGTGCTGAGAATCAATGAAACTTGCATCCAGTAGAGAAACCCTTTGGGGTTGATTTACTAAAGGCAAATGTGCAGATGTCACTTGCAGAGACATGTTTACATCAGTTTTCCTGTCTGCTTTAAATGAGTTTAATACACATTGCAGATTCCTGCGCAGAAAAACATCTGCACGTGATACTAGTGTGTGGTGTGAACAGGGCACATAGAGAACTATTGGTGCCTTCGCAGAATGTATGCTGAAAAATGGACACGTCTGCACCATGGTGTGAGCGAGCCCTGACCTGACCTTCACATATATGCGGCCGTGCACGCTGCGTTTTGTGCGGGCACGAGAGCCTATTCATTTGAATGGACTCCCGAGCCCCGTAGGGAAGAAGTCCCTGTACTTCTTTGGAAAACGCAGCCCGCATGGGAACCTCGGTTCCCAATACGATTGTGTTTTCCAGTGCGGGTGGCATGCCATTAGAACTAATGACACCTGCCCGCGGGTCCGCATTCCTCTGTGCGGGTGGTGTGACTGCACGGATTATCATGCGGATCCGCAGCGGCACCTCCCGCACATACGTGAACCTAGCCTTAGACTGCACACTTCAAGTACAGCTGCACGGTTTGCCTGTAGTAAATCAACCCCATTGTCTACTTAGGTAGTGATTTTTGATAATCTTTGTAAAGCAAAGAGAATTGTCCAAAGTGCAGCACCCATAGTACCCAAAATTGGTCTTTCATTGATTTGATGTCAGACTGCTTTAGTGAATGAGTTTTTCTGTTGGGTTTCATCCCGCTCATCTCAGAAGTCACACCTGCAGCTGCTTTCTGAATGGAAAGTTGCCACAGACCTGCAGCCTAATATACCTTTTCAGAAAGGCTTGTGGAGTCAAAGGTCCCTATTGGCTATTACAAAACTGTTCTGCTTTGTAAAATGCTCAATCATTTTATTTTCATACCTGTAGGCCACATGGAATCCTGCCCAAAACACTTCCTTAGCAACCCCCACACACTGCCTTTTTTATTTTTCTAGAATGTGAAAATCATTTTTTGCTCTGGCATTTCTGGGAGTGAGCAACTATTTTTGCGTTCAAGGTAGCACCAGTGATGCAGTTTATTACCTAATAAGGCCCTTTGTCTGCATAGGCAATTTTTTGAAAAGTGACCCTGGCCCGGGTTGGATCTTATTGGCGCTTAGCCTGGTGATTGGTTGCTCAGGCCTGAGTACTGCATTCTGTGAGGTGAGGACACATGCATGTGCATGCTTCCTTCCACCAAACTGACCATTCTAGATATGTCATGGGTATCCTCTTGCTTCAGTATACTATTGACCTAGGGTACAGAGATACAAATCAGGAGTACTTGGTGCAAATCCAGGGTCAGTGAAGTCTGACACCACCACAAGGTTGGCAGTGGCAGGGTGGATAAAAATCAATGATTTTTTTTAACAAATCAAAAAAATCGGATTTTTTTGATTTAAATCAGATTTTTTTTATTTTAAATCGGATTTTTTAAAATAAAATGCTTTTTGAGGAAAATATATTACCATCCAAAGGTTATTCCATCATGAAATAAAGATTAGTTTTTTTAATTACCGGTATGTAGAATAAGGCTGTATATGTTTAATTTTTTTGGTAAATAAATTCCATTAATCCATTCACAATGTCATGTCATGTGAATAGAAACAATATTTTTTCTGATTGGAGTGGAATAGATCTGCACAAGAAGAAAGTGAAACTAAGTGTGAGGAGGAAGGGGCTGACAGTCTAAGTTTCTTCAAATATATATATTTTGTTTAGCCAAATTAGTTAACAAACATGGATGTTTGTTTAAGCAAATCACAGATGCTGGAATGTTTTTGTTTCAGTTGAATAAATCTATTTAAATTGTTAATAAGGTAATGATTATTTTTCTCCTTCCTAAGTACAACAGAAAGGTTGTCCAAATATGAATGATTAACCTATTAAACTGGGGATAAAAAAACTAATATGAGTTGTTATTCTAAAAATCTTCATCTACTTGCATATTAAAGTTATACCAGCAAGAATTAGTCTTTATGTAGAAATGAATTCTAATGGGGAAAAAAATGCATTTAGGGACCAGTTCACAACACAAAAACGCACCCCAGATGCATTCTAGATATCTTTGCTTACAGTTCACACCACACTCCGTTCCAGTGCAGTTTTGATGCAATTTACTAGTTCCAGTACAGTTCTGTACAGAAAAAATGTTACATGTTCTATTTTTTTTTTTTCCTTCTTCCCTGCATCGGGAACTGACTGCACTGGTGTGAACTAGGGCCATTGGAAAACACTGTGCATGTGCAGAAAAAAAAATGCACTTGACTGCATCTAGTGTGAACCCTTAAAGAAAAGCATGACAAGAGCTTTTTGGTCATACTTTTTATCTGGATCTCAGGAGTGCACTCACTTTTGCACTCCTGTGACCCAGATTCAGCCAGTCAAGCCCACTGTTGGCTCATGTCAGAGGTGGTCCAGGTTCTTGAAGGATCCAGACTTTTAAAGTTGTGATCTACCCAGATGCCTGATTGGCAGCAGGCTCAGCCTCTCAGCGCACCACTGAGAGCCTGAGCCAGTGACAGTCACTGCTCAGCGTGGACCGAAGAACTGAGCGACGAGGGTCATGTGATCACTCAGTTCTTGGTCAGTGGGGGACAGCTGACTGATGCTGCAGCCATGGGGGGAGATGGGTGTTAGTGTGTTTTTTTGTTTTTTTAATGCAGACAAATTAACTGACTTTCATTTACTGCCCCCTACAGATTAACTTTAGCTGGAACGCATTTTGTCAGAAGGAGTGGCTTGGTTTGACCCTGTACAAGGCTTCTCCCCTGGGACGTGCCAAGTTCCCCCCCACCCCCATGTACAATCTATTGTCAGACCTTTAACATCTACCTCTCCGCTTTGTGCTGTTTGCCGTAATGTGCATTTCCTTTGTCATTTAAAGATATTGATTTTTATACACTGGTGACTAACCACAATAAATTTCATTTTAATATTGCTTGGTGTGTTTTGGTCATTTCATACTTGTGTGCCAGATTGTAATTTTTGTGCAACTATAATACTTGCCACTGCTTGCATCAGGGTTTAGGGCTCTCGAGTACTGAGGCAGGGTGTTTTCAGTAAGCTATGTACAGCACCCTGCTAGCCGTGATCTCCCTGCATTGCATAGAGTAGCACAGAGACACAATGTCATCAATTAGTATAAAATAAGTTGTCCTGAAAAGGGGTTGTGTGGTCTTTTTTATTAAAAAAAAATAAAAACACATTTTGCATGTTAATGAGGGAGGAAGAGAAGAACCAGGGAATACAAATTAGACATCTGCTTTATTCTAGTTGACACATACTAGTCTTTATAGATGTAAACATAAATAAAGCGGAAACTGGTGTTCAAAATTTCCAGTAGCAGGATTTGTAGCAGGACCTAAAGTTTCTTTCACCTTTCACTGAACAACCATAAACGTGAAATATATGCTATTATAAAAAGGGGCTCAAGTTAATGCATTAACTGCTTTCCCGCCCCCCTATAGTAGATCTCCTAGATTGTAAGCTCCAAGGAGCAGGGCCCTCGTACCCCTCGTGTATTGAATTGTATTATTACTGTACTGTCTCGTGTATTGTCTCCCCCATTATAATGTAAAGTGCTGAGCAAACTGTTGGCGCTATATACTGTATAATAACTGAGGGGAAAATAATTATCCATCCCTGCTCCAGCCAAATCTTTGCTGTAGCAGCTGCTTGACGTCGCACAGGACCTTCTTGAAAATCTTTAAAGTGGTTGTAAAGCTCAGACATGAAATTTGAACAACACATCCCTCTAGAGCAGTGGTTCTCAACCTTCCTAATGCCGCGACCCTTTAATACAGTTCCTCATGTTGTGGTGACCCCCGACCATAAAATTATTTACCCAGTAATTATAATTCATGAGTGTCGTTTTACCTCCAATACTGCTGCTTTCAACACAGTAGCTGCTTTCAACACAGCAGCTGCTTTCTACACAGTAGCTGCTCTTTACACATCGGAAATATGTGTTTTCTGATGGTCTTAGGGGACCCCTGTGAAAGGGTCGTTCGACCCCCAGGTTGAGAACCACTGCTCTAGAGTTTGTACTTGTCTCAATTAAGAGCATTAAGTGTCATTTCTGTCTGCTGCTTTGTTCCTTTCCTAACCTGAATCATTTCTGACAAGTTTTCCTGAAACCAAGAGAAAAAATGGTGACAGATGAGGGACCTCCAACACATTGACAACCTCAGCTCTGTTCCTGTGAAGGGGATGCGTTGCATCCCTCCAATGGGCTCTTGGAGCTCTCTTTACCAAGTTCTGCAGAGTGTAACTTCAGCTCCCTTTTCTAAACTTTGACAAGTGCTGTAAATTCTGGACTTTCAATATAGAGATTTTTGCAGATAAACAGGTACAACTTATGTAGGAGAGTTTTGTTTCATCTGTGTATCACCTGAGGCCAGTTACTTCCCTGGATATATGTAAGGGTTTACAACCACTTTAAGGTCCTTCAAAAAGGATGAGCACTTCTCAGATTTTTCACACTGGAAGGAATGAAGATCGTGCCTTGACACGACACCCCTTGGAGATTTTTAAGAGACTGTGTGGTGCCAGGCATGCTGTAGAGCAGAGGCAGGCAACAATATGGCTTTCTAGGACTGATGAAAACGGACATCAGAGGCCAAACATAAATAAGGGCGCATGCAGTCAGCCAGTTTAGGCCTTACTCTGCTAGCATCAGCCCAATGCTGTGGTGGGGACAGCCAGGGGTTTATGATCAGCTGCAGAAAGGAAGTCTACAAATCAAGGACAGGCTGACACCTCTGAAAATGATTGCACATGGAACAATTACCTGTGATTAGAGATGGAGGTGCTCCCCCAGTCAGTTTGTGTCCAGGGGTGCATATCTGTCCCTAATGTACACTTATATGTAAACAGTTAATTAGTTTCAGCTTGTCAATGATTTGTGCAGTTTTGGTGTCTGCAGCTGATCAGAAACACCTGGCTGTACCTGCTGCTGAAAATATAGTCGTCTGAGCAGTGTTCGGCCCTAAGCGGCCATGTGCAGGAGCCCCAAGAACTTGCACAAGAATGGCTGCCTCCATGAAAGGAAAACTAAACACAGGCTACCATTGGTGACTTCCATCTGAAACCGCTAAGTACATTGTTTAAAAAGTGTGTAGATTCTTTATATCCACTAGATATCCAGCATGATAATTTTCCCCATTGAGATCTGTTGTGGTTTCAAAGTGTTCCTTTCAATTTTTTTTTTTTTGCACAGTGTCAATGGCTGTCACTTTGTTAAACTAGTATAATACGTTTAACAAAAAATAACCTAACAAGTATACAAATCCAGGTCAATGATGCCAGAGATAGCCATGAAACATGCATTTTCAGAAGGTGGAAGACTACCATTACACGTTTAAAGAATCGAATCCAATTTAAATCGTTCCAAATGATCGATATGAGTGACTGGTTACTGATTGAAGGTTCTATCTGGTCAAAACAGATTTCTAAAATATGTATTTAATCCAAACTGTTATTATATTACATTGTACATGTCTGACTGGTATAAGTAAGTGGATAACTGACAGGATTGTCATCTTCCAGACATCAGGAATGGGAGATTTCTTTTTGTGCATCATCCAGACTGAGGAGAGATAGCACCAACAATCCAGACAGCTCCCACGACAATTCACTTCCTACTATTTGGCAACAGTTGTAAAGTGGAGCTTTGCAGAAGGCACTATACTGAGGGAATACTTTGTACGGACAGTTCTGAAGTATCCTCGCAAGTCCAGTTCAGGGACAGTTTACAATTCATTACGTGTGACTACATTGGCCTTTCTTTTATATCCATCAGAGGGAGCAGCTGCTGCATTTCTAATACAGAAAGTCCTACAGGTAAGCCGTTGTCCCACGCGACTGATTATAGATGGAATTTTCTTCGATTCGTGTCCATTTCATGCCGCTGTAAAAATAAAAATTTAAATAAATCCCTTGCACAGAACAGATTATAAAGTATCTTTCAAATGAGGCTGTATTATATAACATATTACTCCTTGTCATGGGTCTCTGCTTTTTAAAACAATTTCCAGGGAAATGGATGAATATGCAGATCCAATATACACTATAATGCCAAAAGTATTGGTTGGCCAGCCTTTACCCACACATGAACTTTAATGGCGTCTTAGTCCATAGGGTTCAATACTGAGTTGACCCACCCTCTGTAGCTATAACAGCTTCAACTCTTCTGGGAAGGCTGTCCACAAGGTTTAGGAGGGTGTCTATGGGAAGGTTAGACCATTCTTCCAGAAGAGCATTTGTGAGGTCAGGCACTGATGTCAGGGGAGGAGGCCTGGCTTACAGTCTAATTTATCTCAAAGGGGTTCTATCTGGTAGAGATCAGGACTCTGCAGACCAGTCAAGTTCCTCCACCCCAAACTCGCTCATCTATGTCTTTATGGACCTTGCTTTGTGCACTGGTGCGCAGTCATGTTGGAACAGGAAGGGGCCATCCCCAAACTTCCCACAAAGTTAGGAGCATGAAATTGTCCAAAATGTCTTGGCATGCTGATGCCTTAAGAGTTCTCTTCACTGGAACTAGGGGGCCAAGCCAAACCCCTGAAAAACAACCCCTCTTCACCAAATGTTACACATAGCACAATGCAGTCAGGTAAGTACTGCTCTGGCAACTGCCAGATACAGCCATTAGATTGTCAGAGAAGCATGATTCGCCACTCCCACGAACACATCTCCACTGCTGTAGAGCAGGGGTCCCCAAACTATGGCCCTTTGCTAGCCTTTTATCTGGCCCTTGGGGCAGTATTCCTCCCACTGACATCAACAATGGGGCACTATTCCTCCCATTAATACCAATGATGGGTGCTACTCTTCTGCCTACTGACCACCATCATTGAGGCTATGTTTATTCTCACTGATGCTGGGCCTGAAACATTTTCTGCCCCCAGTCCGGCCCTGAAAGCCTGAAGAACCATAAACCAGCCCTTTCTTTGAAAAGTTTGGAGACCCCTTAGAGTCCAGTGGCGGCATGTTTTACACCACTGCATTTCACACTTTGCATTGCACTTGGTGATGTAGTTGCTCAGCCATGGAAGCCCATTCCATGAAGCTCTCTACACACTGTTGTTGTGCTAATCTGAAGGCCACATGACATTTGGAGGTCTTTAGCCATTGACTCTGCAGACAGTGGACAACCTCTGTGGGACTGTGCGCTTCAGCATGCACTGACCCCATTCTGTCATTTTACATGGCCTACCACTTGGTGGCTGAGTTGCTGTTGTTCCCAGTTGCTTCTACTTTGTTATAATCCCACTAACAGTTCAGCGTGGAATATTTAGTAGCCAGGAAATGTCATGGATGGACTTATTACACAGGTGACAACCTATCACAGTTTCACGCTTGAATTTACTGAGCTCCTGAGAGCGAACCATTCTTTCACAAATGTCTGTAGAAGCAGTCTGCATGCCTAGGTGCTTGATTTTGTACACCCATAGCCATGGAGGTGATTGGAACACCTGAATCCAATGATTTGGAGGAGTGTCCCAATTCTTTTGGCAATATAGTGTATACACTGGAGCTGTTTTACCTTCCAAAAGGTTTTACGTTTCTGTTCATCCAGTCTTAAAATTTACACAGCCTAAATTGATTCACTGCAGCAACGATGACCAATCAGAATCATTACACAGAGAAGAGGAAGAAAGGCAGGAATTTAAAATCCCCAGAGCGCTGGGAGGGTGCTGACAGCTAGCCAACCCTGGAGGTAAATACAGTGGGGAGCAGAGGGTGTACAAGGTTTGTTCACCTTTACTTTTTTTCACTATGTAATTTCTAGCTCAGTCCCTTCCCCAGCCAATGACTGGATAATAAAAGGAGAAGCAGCAGACTGATAAGCTCCTTCTCTCAGCAAGTCCCTCGTTAGCACTGCAGCACAACTGATTTGCTCCTTGTGCTGCTTCTCCCTGTCCCAGTCTGAGCTTTGCTGTACAGGAGACTGCAAAAGGCTAATACCAGGTCAAAATTTCCAGCACTTGCATCCAACAGGTGCAATTTGTTGAAGGCTCATGGTGGAAAAAAAAATAAACCGCTTTTTTTTCCTCCAAAAAGGTGAATTCCCCTTCTGAAAGTTTTCAGAAAAGGTCATCTAATTTCAATAAAAAATAATCTATGCTATGCCATGATTACTCCACATTACATACCGCAGATAAAGATTTTTTTTTTTTTTTTTTTGCATGACAGTCTTTCAGCAATGAAATGCACACCTGAAAGGAACCATTTTCATTATACAGAGCCATGGTTCTTTCTACAGAACAATACTATACCTATTTTTTTATTTAGAAAGAGGCCTCTAAGAGGCTTTAATAGACAAACACCAAACCTTCTTGACTTACGTTGGCTTTCCCAACTGCCATCCTGCTGTCCAATGAGCATCTCAGTGGCCTATACCAGCACAATTACTAAACAGAGGAATGGCTGTTGGTGAGAACCGGTATTTAAAATAGGCCCCTAGTACCAAAGTAAAACGCTTCTCAGAGAGGCAAAAGAGAAGCGAAGATTGTCAGAGACAGCACCAGCATTGGTATTTTTTAATCTGAAGAAAACAAATATTAAATCACTAAAAATGGGAGAAAAAGACAAATACTAAGCCCTCTAAAGCTTTTAAAATAATGGTGTCTGGAGTACAGCTTTGAAGTCGCACCACATGAGTTACAGAACTTTCTGTCTAGTGCGATTATAACCTAGATTTGACAACAGCTATGGCTGCCGGCATCTCATCTAAAATCCCTATGGAACATTATGACAATAAGAAAGCGCAAAAACTGCAAGAAAACTATTCAAAACTTCATATGAAATACAAACCTTGTGGACCCATTCATACTCTCCATACTTCGAGTCAAAGGTTCCTTTCTGAAGGGATCTTAGTTTTAATGTAAATCTAGGTCCAAGCTCTTGGATACCAACTTTCTTTTCACTCTTGAACAGGTACCTTCAAATAAACCACAGAAATTTACTAGAAAATCATCCAGATAAAGATATCAGTAGAAGATAAATCACACAATCATCTGCATTGGGGAAACAGGCATGAATTACCTGTGGTATCTGAAAAAGATGTAGTCTCGCTGGTTATGGAAAGTGGCCACCTGTCGTCCAGTAAACTGGGGGTCATGGGAAAAGAGGGAGGCGAACATGCGGCCTATGGAGTGCCCGAGACGTGTTGTGAAGTTGTTTAGGATGACCTCCGGTTTGTGCTCTGTGGGGTCTTTTCCTTTCCTCTGCAAGTGACAACAATTGGAATTTAAATTATATTCCTCCAGCTTCATTCAAGCAACATAAATGCAGTAACAGACTGTATGCTGGAGGTGCTAAATATGGGCCTCAAAAGCTTACTGGTTATCTTCCAAGTCCATGAATACATTTTTGTTTTTTTCCCCCCTAGTTATATGTACAGCGATTTCAAATTGTAGGTCTTGTAATATTGTTTTTGCCCTGAATGGGCAAAACACGTTGCTTTAAGGTAAAGAAGCTGGTTTACTCTATTTCCTCCATTCCCAGCAGGACTTACTCACCTGTGTTTGAAGGCCAAGTTCACCTTTCTGAACATGTTACACCCATATTTAAGGTGTAACACAATTAGCATCCACCACCTCATCCCCCTTCTTCCCTGTGACAGTGGGCAGGGGACCTTCTCACTAAACCCCCTTTCACAATTTGAAACAGAGCAGCCAAGCGGGACTCCGCCCACACGTCTGCGCCGCACAGACGTGTGGAGTTCTGTGAATGAATGAACTACAAATACCATCAGCCACTGCGGCTGACAGTTCTCAATGAACCACAAGGGCGCTGGAGAGCGCTCTCATAGTTCATGGGTTTCAGTAACTGCTTGTCTGTATTGGAGGTATGGGCAGACAACTATACTGAGTCTGTAGGAGCCTGACATTGCATCAGTGATCTGCCAATTGCAGGTGCAACACTATATGGGCTTAAAAAAAAAAAATAATAATAATTTACGCACACCAGATTTGTAGATGCTCTAATTTTTCGCTGCAATTGCTCCACCTCCTTTTGTCAAAAACTGGCAAGTTTTTAAATTTTTTGCATACATAGAAAGTAAAATTTGAAAACCACCATGCAGCATTCCAATGCAGGAAACCTGTATGTACAATTGGCAGTTTTATTTGCATAGATTCACAAATGTGTGAAGCTACACTGCAGCGTCATCAAGGTACCTTTGATAAATGTGGCCCCTCACTCAAAATGATCTGAGTTCCCAGCAATGGAACATACGGTGTGTGTGCATGTATGTATGTATGTATGTATAAAAAAAATATACACATACATACACTTAAAAATGTGCAACAACACACCAAAAAAACAGTCATCACCTTTACATGGCAGCTGAAGACTTAATGTGTGTCTGCACCAAAGCCACAAAAACAATGATGGTAGCCTTCTGGTTTAAAACTTGGAAAAAGGAAAGGGTGCACATGGAACATGGACACAGCAATATACAACACAGCAATACAATTGTATACAAATCAAGTAATGAACGTGATTCTCCAGCACACCAAATGTTATAGAAGCAACATGGAAATGTATTCAAATCAGAATCAATGTAGTTCAACTAAACTTGGCAGCGGCAGGGATCCTTGGACCATCACAGGGAACTGTTACAGTGCTGCCTTCACTGATGCTTGTGAGTGCATAATCAATATGATTCCTTTATCTGATTAGGAGACCTTACTGAACCAGGTCTATTGCTTCTTGTTTTTAGATCTGTATACAAATAAGTAACTTTCACCAATGTGAGTACGTAGAAGCCACACTTGCAGATGCACCCTGAATGTGTGGTCTGGCTTCCACATGACTGTAAATTCTTAGTTGCGGTTTTGGCTGCAGTGGATAGAACAAAAACCTTCTCACTCCATATAAGCAGCATCAAGACATGCAGGTTCATAAGATAAAGTCCATCTATCCATAATAATAAAAGTGAATGGCCTTGAGACTCACCTTAAGCTCCTTGCGCAGGCGAACATTTGACATTTTGAAGTGGGCTGTTGGACCATCTGGTAAATGACTCAGGACAAGCCCATCTAGAGGTTGTGAGTTAAAGATATACAATGCTGCAGATCCTTAAGACAATTTCCAGCTCAGCCAGGAAGGGTTAGAGAGTAACAAATAACAAAGGGTACAGATACTATATTGACTCAGATGTCTACACGTCAGCCTTGAGTCCCGGTTTACACTGATGCGAATCTTATGCAGATTACATCCAATCCAAAAGGCATTGATTTGCATGTTATGTAAAAAAAAAATTGTTATGAAAGCTGTTCACATTTATGCGGTGTGATTCTGATCCGGTTAAAAAAAGGATCCTGTGCTAGTTTAATGTGGGTTTGGTGCAAATTTGATTTCCAGCTAGGCCACATCCCCTCAGGAATCGTATTAATTTACATTAGCCTGGGTTCAAACTGATGTAGTGTGGAATTTGCAGCCTTTTCTGTGCGAATTCCACACCGCATCAGAATCGCACCCCGTTCATATACGAACTGCTAACACCCTGAAATCAGTCCGCAAAATGTGATAGGATGTGCAGAACCAGATCGCATAGGTGTGAATACCCATACGATCCGATTCTAGTGCGGACCAAAAAGGGGTCCTGCGCCTTCTTGGTGCAGTGCGATTAGTCATACAAAATGTATGCCTCTGATCGCGCCGCACACAATTTGCGCAGGAATGTGGTGCGGTTCCTGTGCGAATCACATGCGATATACCGCACCTCATATATGTGAACCCAGGCTTAGAATAGCACCTGTCACAACAGAAATGGCTCTGTGAAACTGCATCAGATTTGCGCTGCATCAGTGTGAACCTAGCCCTGGTCAGATTCTCACCCGATAGTCTGGCCTACTAGGTTGGCTTCAGTACATGCTCTTAAAGCAGAACTTCACCCAAAAGGCTTTAAATCCCCACCCCCCCACATTTGGCATGTCATTTTGGGGAGGGTAGCAGATAGTTTTGACAGGTACCCACATCTACTAGGATCGCTTTGTTCTCCTCCCTCGTCTTCTGGGACATGTCACAGGTCCCACTGAGGGACCGTTCACAAAGCACAGCACGGCCCACGCATGTGCAGCTGATTGTGAAGCTGAAAGCAGCATAGCCGGCTGCCCACAGGAAGCTGGCCCCGGGAACCTGAAGGTTAATGAGGAACTGGCCCGGGTTAGGACAGCACTGGATCTCTGGACAGGGACATGTCTTTTTATTGAAAGTCAACAGCTAATAGTATTTGTATCTGCAGCCCTAATATTTTCCAAAAGTCCATTTCCAGTGTATCTTCACCTTAGTCCATCTTTCACGTCTTTGATCAACCTGAACTAACCCTTTAAGTCAAATCTCTGATTAGGCATATGGGGCAGTAAGGTACTCAAGAAAGACTGAGCCTACAAAATTATCCTACACCAGATATAAATAATAATATATTTTAATATGTTCTATTAAAATCTGCTGTCATTTTTCAAACCCTTGCTCCGCACAATGGTAATACATTTATCATAAGAAGCTGGGCTAAAGGATACTGGCAATTTTCCGATCTTCATTGATGACAATCAGATCTGTGAAATCCCTGGCAATACACTGTGGGATAATTTTTTTCAGTGCCAGGCCTCTTCTGTAATAAACATGTGAATTTGGAATGATAGATGACAGCTGTTCTGTAAATTTTACTGTCCGCTGTGAAGAACAGGAAAGAAAATATGAAAATAGAACCAAAATTCAAACATGGAAAAAAAGAAAATCACACGTGATTGTCAGACTATGGACAACTTGTCTCAAGTCAGTGGTTCTCCAGGGCCAGCAACAGTAAATGTTGGTGGCCTTTGGGTGAGATTTAACTCCTACATCCCTGACATTATGAGGGAGACTTACTATAACTGGAGGGTGCAAAATCTGGTGCAGTTCTGCATAGAAACCAATCAGCTTCCAGGTTTTATTGTCAAAGCTTTACTGAACAAGCTGAAGTTAGGCTGGCCATAGATTATACAATTTTCTGTCCAATTTCTGCCAAATTTCCTTTAGATTTACCTTCAGCTATGTAGTGCAAGGGTCTGCCTAATTGGATACAATTGAAAGTTTTGTTAGGTTTGACCTCCTATTATATGGTTTTTGGTAAATCTAAACCAAAAATCTCAAGAAAATGGTATAATGTATGGCCAGCCTTAGAAGCTGATTGGCTGCCAGGCACAGCTGCACCAGATTCTGAGTACCCCAGTTTTAGTAAATTTCCCCCTATTTGTCAGTTCTCAGACTGTGCTTTCACAGCTCCTCTTCTAAGTCAGGTAAGAGTATAGAAAGTTTTGAACATCGCTCCATAAGACAGCTTTCTACATATCAATGTGTTTATATCATGGCTACAGAGCAAAGATGTGACAGCAGAGATGTAACATCATCATGGACACAGAGGTGGAGCCCAGGGCCCGATCACTGCGTGATGAAGGCAGTTCTAAGCGATTCCATACTGCTACTTTACAGCAGTATGGAAAAGAAATATCTTGCATTTACTTTCAAAAATGTAACAAAAACAGGTCATATTCTTCAGCTCCTACAAGCAACACAGAGAAAAACTCCCACAAACATCTTATGAATAAGGCCAAGTATGTTAAACTGATCAGTTCAGGTGCTTTATCTCATACCCCACGAGGGCGATCAGATGTTGTGACCAGTATCTTTGGTGTTGTCTGTCGGTTAAAATAAGGTGCAAATTCATCTGTAGCTTCATCAAATGCTACCTACAGGAAAACAGAGGAAAAAATAGAAATAAAAAAAAAAAAAATGGAATTCAGTATAAAGATATTACAAGTACTTTTAAACATGGCTAATATACTTATAGGAATCTGTATTTATCTTGCTTCCTGCAATCCCTTGTATAGCACCCACCTGGAGAGGAAGAGGCAGCACTCTGAGCAAATCAGAGCGTCACTTCTTTTCACCCTACCATTATGACCTTGCTTACAAGAGGGGGAGCACAGGGATGACAAGACTGAGATCGAGCTCTGCAGTCACTTTTGCAGCAGTTTTCTTATTCCGGGTCACAATCCTGCGCAATGTCCTTTTGTCTCTTTCGGTCAGTTGACCATGTCAACCGTACTTATACTTATCAAACAACGTTTTACCAGAAACTATACATGCCGACATAACCTTTGATACAGTACCGCACGACACGGCAAATAAATTGGAAACTTCTGCCACAGAGGCACCAGCTAAGCGACATCAACAATCTGCCCTCTAAGAAGCTCAGTAAGCTCTGACATGACTCCGTATTACTAGCAGCACACGCAGTTAATGATGAAAGTAAGGCTTCCTACCTGCTAGGTGTCTCATCACACAGCGGAAGCAAAAGAATGTTGCATCAGTTCCGCTTTCAACACAAAACATGTCATCACTTTCACACCTGCAAATCATGTAGTGTTTACATGTTCCTCAACATTTTTTTCAGTCAAGGCACCCTTTAAATTATGGAGTCCTGAGGCATCCTTTAAAATTATGGACAGCCTTGAGGCACCCCATTCTAAAATGTGAAAAACTACTCTAATAGTTTTGTATAACGCAGCAACATCCACACATGTAGGACACCCAACATTAGAGGTGATTTATTCTTCCAAAGCAAATATGCTTTTGCACACTGGTACTGACTAGTATTCCTATGTTTCTCCTCTCCCTCAGTTTTTCACCACCACTGAGCTGATGTGACCCCAGCACTGATGGAGAGGGGCAGGGGAGGGTCAAATTAGAATGCTGTGCAGGCAGCTGACATCCTCCTTATCAACGAATGATGTTATTGGTTGTCAGGATGCTGGCGGCTAGAAGGTGGTAATGGAGCACAATGAAGACCTGTGGCTTTGTGTAACTAAAAGGCAGGACTGATCCACCCGCTGGCTTGTATGCAAGTCTTGGGCAATTTTTAGACATTTTCCCAAGGCACCCTGGTTGAGAAAGGCTGGTCTAACCCCTGTATTTTTAGGAAAGTGAGGGATTTTATTTATTTATCGAGTTTATATAGCGCCAAAGGGTTTGCTCAGCGCTGTACAATAGAGGGGGGGGACAATACATGAAACAGAACAGTAATATCAAACAGCACACAAGGGGTAAGAGGGCCCTACTCTTTCGAGCTTACAATCTAGGAGGGAGGGGGTAGAGGCACAGGAGGAAACGGCTGTGGGGGATGGAGTGGTAGGAGGAGGGAAGGGCAGCGGCTGTTAGGTGAGGGTGGGGTAGGCTTCCCTGAAGAGGTGGGTTTTCATGGAGCGCCTGAAGGTGAGGAGGGAAGGTGACAGTCTGATGGATTGGGGTAGTGAGTTCCAGAGGATGGGGGAGGACCTGGAGAAGTCTTGCAGTCGTGCGTGGGAGGAGGAGACCAGGGAGCAAGATAGAAGGAGGTCCTGTGAAGAGCGAAGGGTACGGGTAGGGTGGTACCTGGGGAATAAGGTCGGTGAGGTAGTTAGGGGCAGTGTTGTGAATGGCCTTATAGGTCAGGGTGAGCAATTTGAATTTAATGCGTTGGGCAATGGGGAGCCAGTGGAGGGAGAGGCAGAGGGGGGTGGCAGAGGTGGAGCGGCTGGTGAGGTGGATGAGTCTGGCAGCTGAGTTCAGGATGGTCTGAAGCGGGGAGAGTTTGCACTGAGGTAGGCCGGTGAGGAGGGAGTTGCAGTAGTCAAGGCGTGAGATAATCAGGGAGTGTACGAGTAGTTTAGTGGTGTCTGGGGTAAGGAAGAAGCGTATCTTGGCGATGTTCCGGAGGTGGAGCCCTGCACGTGTTTGTAAGTGATTTGATATGAGGTTGAAAGGAGAGGTTTGAGTCCAGAATGACGCCAAGGACCTTGGCTTGCTGGGCGGGATTGATGGTGGTGGTGTTGGTAGTGATGGAAAGGATGGGTGGGGGGGGGGGGCGCGGGCGGGGGGGGGAAGACGAGAAGCTCGTTTTGGAGAGGTTGAGCTTGAGGAAATGGAGTGACATCCAGTCAGAGATGTCGTTTAGGAGGTGAGTGATGCGGGCGGAGAATGTGGGGGTGAGGTGAGGGGTGGATAGGTAGATTTGAGTATCATCAGCGTAGAGGTGGTAATTGAAGCCGTGGGAGTGTATGAGTTTGCCAAGGGAGGAGGTGTAGATGGAGAAGAGAAGGGGTCCAAGGACAGAGCCCTGGGGGACCCCAACAGAGAGGGGGAGGGAAGAGGAAGTGGCATCGTTGTAGGAAACGCTGAAGGAGCGTTGGGATAGATAGGACGAGAACCAAGAGAGAGCGGTGTCACTGATGCCAAGGGAGAGTAGTTTATTAAGGAGGAGGGGGTGGTCGACTGTGTCAAAGGCCGCGGAGAGGTCTAGGAGGAGGAGGACAGAGTAGTCGCCTTTGGCTTTGGTGGTTAGTAGATCGTTGGTGATTTTGAGGAGGGCAGTTTCGGTGGAGTGTAGGGGACGGAAGCCGGACTGTAGTGGGTCAAGGAGGTTGCTGTCAGTTAGGTGGGCGCTTAGGCGATCGAAGACCAAGCGCTCAAGGAGCTTGGAAGTGAGTGGCAGCAGGGAAATTGGTCTGAGGTTGTTGAGGTCAGTGTGGTCCAGGGAGGGCTTTTTGAGTATGGGGGTGGTGTGCGCATGTTTTAGGGGGGAGGGGAAGACGCCAGTAGAGAGGGAGAGATAGAAGATGTGGGTAAGGGAGCGGATGAGGGAAGAGGGGGGTGACCGGAGGAGTTGAGAGGGGATAGGGTCCAGGGGGCAGGTAGTGAGGCGGGCTTCTGAGAAGACTCTGGTGACTTCCTCAGTGGTAGTAGGGCTGAAGGAGTGCAGTGATGGGGGGGTTACGGTAGGCAGGGCCTTGGGTGTGGTGGGGGGCAGTGCTGTTGCGAGGTCAGAGGAGGGGATGGTTAGAATTCCTATCAAATTTTTATTTCCGTCTGTGTCCCTGTTGAAGATTACCCCCCCAAGTTTTGGCTGTGCATACACTTTAATAGGGAAACCTCTGACATGCAGTTATGACATGAACTGAGTTAAAGTACATCTAGATCCTACTGCCAACCCTCTTCATGTCAGTCTCAGGGAAGTAATGTGACTGAAGACACTAGGAAATAGAATATTGAATTACCTCTTCATCTGCAGGATCCACTGTTGTCTCATCATAAACACGCTGGTTTTCAATCGTTTTGGGAACAGGCTTGGGTGGTGCCTAGGTACAAAAGACAAAATATCACTACTGTATAAATTAGCATTTTTACACATCTTAACTTTTACACTGTTCAATACATAAAAAAAAAAAAAAAAAAAAAAAAAAAAAAAAAAAAAAAAGAGGCATCAATACAGGATTTAGCACAGCACATCATGTCAAAACTTCTTTTGCAACCAATCTTGTGTATGTAAACCTCAACAACTAATAGCTTTTAACGGTATATTAAATAGACCAAAAAAGACGACCTCCTCATCCTGCAGTACAACTGACTCAGAGGCATTATTCAAAGTTTGAAAAAACACCAATGTGACTATGCAGGCTGCACTCCTGCAATCGTTTGAGGCCTTGATTTATTCTCTATAGAAATGGTTCCCATCTCAAGGTGGGTGCAAATATATTGCAATGATCTTATAAAATATATTTAAAATCTGTATTCATAAAATGAAAGATCTGTCCTTTACCTATTTCCCGAATGCACCCTTGTGCATAACCTGTGTATGGTGGAATTATATAAAATTATCTAACAAGAGTAGATAGGGGAATCATGATATGTTCTGTCCCCCTTGCTACTGTAGAGCGCTGAGCATACCCTTTGGCGCTATATAAATACTGTATAATAATAATAATATTTATTATGCACATCAACTCTTTTCTGATCATACTTTTAAATGCTTTCAAACCTTTAAAAAGGAAGAAAATCGGAGTCACAGACATCTACTTATTTCCATGTGTGCAATTACACCATGCGGTAGGGAAAAGAAGTCCTAAATTTAGCACATCACAGTAAAACCCTGTGAGGTGGTGTATGACATCAAACCAGGCCACATGGTGGCCATACAATTTTGATTGAAGTAAGGGTCACTACAAACCAGGGTGGATAAAAATCAATGATTTTTTAAAAAAAATAAAAATCGGATTTTTTTGATTTAAATCAGATTTTTTTTTAATTTAAATTGGATTTTTTTTGAATAAAATGCTTTTTGAGGAAAATATATTACCATCCAAAGGTTATTCCATTACGAAATAAAATTTAGTTTTTTAATTATGTAGAATGAGGCTGTATATGTTTAATTTTTTTGGTAAATAAATTCCATGAATCCATTCACAATGTCAGGCTCTTCCAGAGGTTTTTGTAAGATTATTGGGCAGTTTCTCTGCCTACAAGATATTATCACAGATGTTTGGTTTACTTTTGCAGTTCTCAAAACTGAATTTGACTCAGCGGAGATCACATGCCTCTTCTTCACAGCAAAAATGTTATAACATGAACAGAGTTAAGAAAAAGACCTTAATCCTAACTTCTACAAACCTATGAATACAGAATCAACCCCTTCAGTGCTAAGTTTTCAAGAAGTTCCGTGAATAGAAACAATATTTTTCTGATGGTTTGGAGTGGAATAGATCTGCACAAGAAGAAAGTGAAACTAAGTGTGAGGAGGAAGGGGCTGACAGTCTAAGTTTCTTCAAATATATATATTTTGTTTAGCCAAATTAGTTACCAAACATGGATGTTTAAGCAAATCACATATGCTGGAATGTTATTGTTTCAGTTGAATAAATCTATTTAAATTTTTATTATTAAGGTAATGATTATTTTTCTCCTTCCTAAGTACAACAGAAAAGTTGTCCAAATATGAATGATTAACCTATTAAACTGGGGATAAAAAAACGAATATGAAAAGTTGTTATTCTAAAAATCTTCATCTACTTGCATATTAAAGTTATACCAGCAAGAATTAGTCTTTATGTAGAAAACTAGGATTTAAATCAAGCCTTACTGACTAGTGATTTAAATCGTGATTTATATCAGATTGATTTAAATCAAATCCACCCTGCTACAAACCAACATGACTGAGAAGCTCTTGATTAAGAAAGATCACTCTAAACTTGCCTCTGGATTTCTCAAGAGGTTGCTAGGGGTTCCTTGAGCAATGAGAAATGTCTGCCTCTAAGATAAGTCCCCACTCACACCATTAATCTTTATAGCCATCTGTAAGAGGATAATCCTTCCAATGACCACAGCTATAAGGAGCATTTTTTCTACTGACCATTCCACTAATGTATCACGAGTTGTAGATATAGTAATTTTCAGCAGGGGTTCCCTGAAACTGGAAAGTTATTTCAAGAGTTCCTCTGTGTTGAAAAGGCTGAGAAAGGCTGCTCTAGATATTATCTAGCTCGATTATCCTCATCGAGGATGGAGAAAATAAAAAGGCCCAATGGCAAGCTGCTATTGTCTCAATGGATGACGATATCTGGGAAGATGTCATTAAAATCCAAATCTAAGCAGTTTTTTCAGCTGAAGCCAAGCTAATCCAACTTACCGTATATACGCGAGTATAAGCCGACCCGAATATAAGCCGAGGTACCTAATTTTACCACAAAAAACTGGGAAAAACTATTGACTCGAGTATAAGCCGAGGGGGTAGGAATAGTGCCCCATCGTTGGTGTCAGTGGGGGGAGGAATAGTGCCCCATCGTTGGTGTCAGTGGGGGGAGGAATAGTGCCCCATCGTTGGTGTCAGTGGGGGGAGGAATAGTGCCCCATCGTTGGTGTCAGTGGGGGGAGGAATAGTGCCCCATCGTTGGTGTCAGTGGGGGGAGGAATAGTGCCCCATCGTTGGTGTCAGTGGGGGGAGGAATAGTGCCCCATCGTTGGTGTCAGTGGGGGGAGGAATAGTGCCCCATCGTTGGTGTCAGTGGGGGGAGGAATAGTGCCCCATCGTTGGTGTCAGTGGGGGGAGGAATAGTGCCCCATCGTTGGTGTCAGTGGGGGGAGGAATAGTGCCCCATCGTTGGTGTCAGTGGGGGGAGGAATAGTGCCCCATCGTTGGTGTCAGTGGGGGGAGGAATAGTGCCCCATCGTTGGTGTCAGTGGGGGGAGGAATAGTGCCCCATCGTTGGTGTCAGTGGGGGGAGGAATAGTGCCCCATCGTTGGTGTCAGTGGGGGGAGGAATAGTGCCCCATCGTTGGTGTCAGTGGGGGGAGGAATAGTGCCCCATCGTTGGTGTCAGTGGGGGGAGGAATAGTGCCCCATCGTTGGTGTCAGTGGGGGGAGGAATAGTGCCCCATCGTTGGTGTCAGTGGGGGGAGGAATAGTGCCCCATCGTTGGTGTCAGTGGGGGGAGGAATAGTGCCCCATCGTTGGTGTCAGTGGGGGGAGGAATAGTGCCCCATCGTTGGTGTCAGTGGGGGGAGGAATAGTGCCCCATCGTTGGTGTCAGTGGGGGGAGGAATAGTGCCCCATCGTTGGTGTCAGTGGGGGGAGGAATAGTGCCCCATCGTTGGTGTCAGTGGGGGGAGGAATAGTGCCCCATCGTTGGTGTCAGTGGGGGGAGGAATAGTGCCCCATCGTTGGTGTCAGGAGGGGGGGGAGGACGAGTGCCCCATCGTTGGTGTCAGTGGGGGGAGGACGAGTGCCCCATCGTTGGTGTCAGTGGGGAGAGGACGAGTGCCCCATCGTTGGTGTCAGTGGGGAGAGGACGAGTGCCCCATCGTTGGTGTCAGTGGGGAGAGGACGAGTGCCCCATCGTTGGTGTCAGTGGGGAGAGGACGAGTGCCCCATCGTTGGTGACCCCTGCTCCAGCCTGGGCTCGTTCGCTCCCTCCCTCTCCCATGGTACACACTTACCTGTCAGATGTCTTCCTTCTCCGGCCGCTCTCCTCGATCGATCTCCGCGGTGCCGCTCGGCTCCTCCTCTCCAAGCTCCACCTCCTCGCCGGTGATTGGCCGCCGGAACTGTAGCTCAGGAGAGGCACACAGGCGCCCAATCACCGGCGAGAGGAGGAGCCGAGCGGCACCGCAAAGATTGAGCGAGTGAGGAGGAGGAGAGCGGCCGGAGAAGGAAGACATCTGACAGGTAAGTGTGTACCATGGGAGAGGGAGGGAGCGAACGAGCCCAGGCTGGAGCAGGGGTCACCAACGATGGGGCACTATTCCTCCCCCCACTGACACCAACGATGGGGCACTCGTCCTCCCCCCACTGACACCAACGATGGGGCACTATTCCTCCCCCACTGACACCAACGATGGGGCACTATTCCTCCCCCCACTGACACAAATGATGGGGCACTATTCCTCCCACACTGACAGGATTGATCCCGGGGGTGTGTCCAGATGACAGGGACGGCATGTCATCTGCAACGTTGACTCGAGTATAAGCCGAGGGGGCCGTTTTTCAGCACAAAAAATGTGCTGAAAAACTCGGCTTATACTCGAGTATATACGGTAAATATTTACACAGAATTTATAAATATCCCTAGCAGACTATATAGAATGGGCAGAATATCTTCTTCGGAATGCCCTCAATGTCATTGAAACTCTGGGGACTTACATATGGTATGGGTGTGTCTACAAGGCAGGCAATTTCGGTTGGCTATTGGCATATTGGTTTATGGAGGAGATGTTGTCTCTTCACACATTTGCACCCCTATCCATTGCCTTTTAGGATATGAGGAGCTACATGGTTCACAGAAGACACTACTTTGTTATTTATTCTTTTATGCTAATAAAGCTTTGTCTTTGAAATGGAAAGAAGTAGATCATAACATACACTTCTGGATAGACCTTATAAACTATTGAGCCATGCTCCTGGCGCTCAGAACAAATGTAAGCTGAAAATTAGAGAGATAAGTCTACCTCATTGGACTTAACCGCTTGTAATCCAGCACAATGTACAAAATGAGAGTTCCTGGAGGTCAGCTTTAACCAGTTGACGACAACCCTATAGCAGCTTAATTGCTACAGGGTGGTATGGTGGTGGGTGGGTGTACACAGTATCTCACAGGAGTGAGTACACCCCTCACATTCTTGTAAATATTTTATTATAACTTTTCATGTGACAACACTGAAGAAGTCAGCAGTAACTGAAAAAATTAAAAAAATAAATAAAAAGTTTAAACAAGTAAATATATTTTCCTATCTATTTATGAATGTTAGCAGCATAAGGATTAAACATAGCGAATGTTGATCGAGAGAGTGTAGTTCCACTTTAATAATAGTTTTACATACCTTGTCACCAAGCGCCTCTCTCTCCTTCTTACGTTTCTTCTTTATAGCGATCTTTTCCTACAACATTCAAAAAGAGGTAAAATTAACCACTTGCCCTCCTGAAGATTTACCCCCCTTCCTGACCAGGCCTCTTTTTGCTACTCGGCGCTGCACTAATTCAACTGATAATTGCGCGGTCATGCAATGCTGCACCCAAACATCCTTTTTTTCACACAAATAGAGCTTTCTTTCGGTGGTATTTGATCACCTGTGAGCTTTTTATTTTTCACGCTATAAACAAAAAAGACCAAAAAATTTTGAAGAAAAACGATATTTTTTACTTTCAGCTATAAAAAATATATAGTAAACTCAAAGTTTGTTATAAATTTAGGCCAAAATGTTTTCTGCTCCATGTTTTTGGTAAAAAAAAAAATCCCAATAAGTGTATATTGATTGCTTTGTATGAAAGTTATAGCGTCTACAAACTATGGTATAGATAATGGAATTTACACCATTTTTTGCTATACAGCGCTGCACTAGTTTAACGGACAATTGCGCGGTCATGCAATACGGTACATAAATGAAATTTACATCCTTTTCTCCCCCCACAAATTGAGCTTTCTTTCGGTGGTATTTGATCGCCTGTGCGTTTTTTATTTTTTGCGCTATGAAAAAAAAAGTCTGACAATTTTGAGAAAAAAAAAAAAACAATATATTTTGGACTTTTTGCTATAAAACATGTCCAGTAAAAAAAAAATGTAAAAATCAAATTTAGTCATAAATTTCTGCCAAAATGTATTCTGCGACATGTCTTTGCTTAAAAAAAATCCCAATATGTGTAAATTAATTGGTTTACGTGAAAGTTATAGCATCTACAAATGGCGGGAAAGATACTGGGATTTATTTATTTTTTATTATACTAATAATGGCGGCAATCAGCAACTTATGGTGGTGATCAGCGACTTATGGTGGTGATCAGCGACTTATGGCGGGACTGCGGCGGACAGTTTGACACTGGGGGGAGAACTGAGCTGGGGGTCACTGACATCCCCAGTGACACCAATACAGTGATCAGTGCAAAAAAAAACACTGACACTGTACTAATGGCACATGGGAGGAAGGGGTTAACTTTTATTAGGTAATGAAAGGGTTACCTGTGTGAGGGGAGTGTTTTACTAGGGGGGCGGGGGTGTGTACTTCACAGGAACATGCTGATCCCGAGAGATAAAGTCTTCTCTCAGGTTCAGTGTGCTCTGAACTGACAGATGGCAGAGCTGCAATGTAAACACTGCAGCCCCGTGCTGTCAGTGATTACTGGTAATCACCGGCACCCGCTGGGAGCCGGTGATAGACACCCGCTGCCACGATCGGCGGGACGGGTAGGGCAGGCACCCGACCCCTACCTGTTTTGCACAGCGACATTAAAAGACGGCGCTGTGCATACAGGTGCCGCCCTGCCGCAGTAAAAAAACACTGCGGCGGGTCAGCAAGCGGTTAAAAAAAAAAAAAAAAAAAATGAAATTTATAGCTGGAACACAGTTGTTAAGGCTTACTGTACTTTTAGTGATTTAATCCTTTAACTGATTTCCCTTTCCCCAGCAACGCTTCATAAATATCATCTTAGTCACCTGTCCTCTGACATATCTTGCCTCTTCAGGAGCAGCCTCTACACATTCAAGGTGTGACAATTTAATTCCCAGTATGGACCATTAGTAACTCTTTCAAACATCTATGCATTTTTCAAAAGATTGGATGAAATTTGAAGACAACGTTCTTTCTGATCTTCCGTCAAGACTGGAGGCACCATCTTTGTGGAAATCTTTCTCATTCCGAAATCCTCCTTTAGAATCTGCAGCACTGTCTCCAATTTATGTTCAATTCCTCTGCCATCATTCGCACACTCAGTCTTTGATCTGAGCATACCAGGGTTCACAGTCTGTTCACATTTGCTTCCACCCTTTGCGCTTTTGGCTGCAACCTTCTTGAGTCATCGTGAACATCTTCCCGCCCTACTCAAACCACCTATGTCATTCAAAAACACTTGATTTCTTCCGAGAAGGTTCACCATAAACCTGTTGTAAGACAGCTAAAGTTTCACCTGCACGTTTACCAATTTTCATACAACATTTGATGGTAATCTGCTGTTCCAGATTCCAGTTACTCCTTTTCTGCCAACAGCACAACACACACACACGTGCTATTTCTTCTACTGCCCTGTAAAGACAGTCAACAGATCTGCGACCCAGGCGAGTGCAAGTTAGAAGATGTCAGAACATGCTCGAGTGTGAATGGTCTTGGGACTCACCACCATTGTGCTACGCCACAAGCACTCCGGGAATTAAATTGTCACACCTCGTACATTCGCTCCTATGAAGAGACTGTATTAGGCATCTAAATGGTGGAGGGATTCTCCAGAGGAATATGTTAGGATTTTTCTACACCTGCAAAGGTAACAGTTGCCCACCCTGGAGACTTTGCAGTGGAGGCTGTGCAGCTTCCTGTGGGGTGCACTGTGGAGATCTAGGAGGCAAGTATAAGGCCCACTTCAAACTTCAGCTTGGTAACGTGTTACATTAAGAAAGTCCCTTCATTAGTTCATAGCAGAGCCTTTCAAAATGAATGTCACCACTATGCATTGAAGTATGCCCATTGCAGTAATACACAGTAAAGTGCATGTGTTACTACAACATATACATCTGACCAGGATCTAAGATTTAAGACTGGAGGAAGGCAGGTGGGGTGACAATAGTTAAAGGAGAATGGGTCGCTCTCAGGAGCTCAGTGACTCCAAGTGTGGTACTGTGATAGGTTGCCACCTGTGCAATAAGTCCATCCGTGACATTTCCTGGCTACTAAATATTCCACGGTCAACTGTTAGTGGTATTATAACAAAGTGGAAGCAACTGGGAACAACAGCAACTCAGCCACCAAGTGGTAGGACATGTAAAATGACAGAGCGGGGTCATCGCATGCTGAAGCGCACAGTGCGCAGAAGAGAAGTCCCCAACTGTCTGCAGAGTCAATAGCTAAAGACCTCCAAACATCGTCTGGCCTTCAGATTAGCACAACAACAGTGTGTAGAGAGCTTCATGGAATGGGTTTCCATGGCCGAGCAGCTGCATCCAAGCCTTACATCACCAAGTGCAATGGAAAGCATCGGATGCAGTGGTGTAAAGCACACCGCCACTGGACTCTAGAGCAGTGGAGACGTGTTCTCTGGAGTGATGAATCACGCTTCTCTGTCTGGCAATCCAATGGACGTGTCTGGGTTTGGCGATTGCCAGAACGGTACTTGCCTGACTGCATTGTACCAAGTGTAAAGTTTGGTGGAGGGGGGATTATGGTGTGGGGTTGTTTTTCAGGGGTTGGGCTTGTCCCCCTAGTTCCAGTGAAGGGAACTCTTAAGGCGTCAGCATACCAAGACATTTTTGACAATTTCATGCTCCCAACTATGTGGGAACAATTTGGGATGAATTAGATCGGAGGCTGCAAGCCAGGCCTTCTTGTCCGACATCAGTGCCTGACCTCACAAATGCGCTTCTGGAAGAATGGTCAAACCTTCCCATAGACACCCTCCTAAACCTTGTGGACGGCCTTCCCAGAAGAGTTGAAGCTGTTATAGCTGCAGAGGGCGGGGCCAACTCAATATTGAACCCTACGGACTAAGACTGGGAGGCCATTGACTTTCATGTGCGTGTAGAGACAGGCCGACCAATACTTTTAGCAATATAGTGTGTGTATATATATATATATAAAAATGCAGGTGTCACATTACCCTAAATGGGTCATAACAGGCTCCGCTCCACCCTGAGACCCCCCTCCCCCAATAGGTAGAATGAAATTGTTTTTTTATTTCTCTGTTAAGAACTGTAAACTCCATTTTTCAGTACGTCTGTACTTCATAGCTGTGCCGAAGATGTAGAAGTCCATTGACATGAGCCAATAAGGTGCCCCAGCACATTTGGGGGCACCAGACAGGTGCAGAGAAAGAAGGCAAGGGTACCAGAGGAAGGAGAAGGCACTGGAATGGGGAAGCGATGGCAATGGAAGGAGGGGAGGGTACCAGAAAGGGGGAAGCGAGGGAAATGAAGGGGGGAGCAAGGGCATTAAGAGGAAGGCAAAGGCACTGAAAGGGGGAAGCAAGATTAATGGAAGGAGGGGAGGGCACTGGAGGGGAAGGTGAGGGCAAGGAAGGGGGAGCAAGGGCATCAGGAGGCGGGGGCACCAGGAGGGGGCAAGGGCATCAGAAAGGAGAGGAAAGCAAAAGTCAAGTACAATGTACAGAGAGGAGGGCACCAGAAGGGGAAAGCAAAGGCATTGGAGAGAGAGAGAGCAGGAGGTGAAAGGGCATCAGAAGGGGGAGGGAAGTGAGAGGAATGGGGAGAGGGGCACTGGAGGGGGGAGTCAAGTGCAAAGGATGGAGAGGAGGGCACCAGAAGGGGGAGGCAATTGCACTGGAAGAGGGGGGGGGGGGGGGGTAGAGGGAGTGAGGCAATAAAGAAAAGCTTCTACTGGGGGGGGGGGGTTGTTATTTTAAGAATCATTTACAGAAACCCTGGACACCCCCATTTAGATCATTACAGATCTATGGGCTGTGTTGATGCTCCTGCTTCTACCATCATTCACAGATGGGTGGGTCTGACCTCCCTTCCACAGACCTCTATGGAGAGAGAAGCAGCTCTGATGCAAGCACAAGGCCCCATTCAGACTGGTGTTTGGGAGGGGACTAGATTTCCTGCAGTTTCAGCAAACAGCTGCCATTGAGAAGCCCATCCAAAGCAATGGAGGCTGACAGCGCCCACATCCTGTGACCAGACAGGGAGTACCGGAGGAGGGTGGGCTCTGAGTGCACACTGTGTTTGTGCACAGCCCATCATCCTCCCTGTCAGCCTCCATTGCTTTGGATGGGGCTCTCAGCGGTTTGTGGCCCAAGCCTCCACAGGAAGTCACAGTCTGCTCTGGTGTGAATGAGGCCTAATCCATCAACACGAACTCACTGCCTCAGTATAAACCTCCTTCTGTGCTCCATCCTGCACTGGGAAAACCAGCCCTGTACTTCCAAGCATGGAGGAGCACGTGACTCACACCATGTGACAGCCTCAGCCAATCAGTGCTGCACCCGAGCAGAGCAGAGCCCAGTGTAAGGTACACATCCCGGCGGTGCTGGCCCCTGGCGGCTCCTCACCTTCCTCTTCTCCTGCTTCATCTTCAGGAACATGAAGTGTCGGCGCTGCTTGTTCTTGATCTCGGACAGGCTGAATGTGGGCGGGAAGGCAGCTGAGCTCTCCTCCGGCTCCCCGGGCACTGCGCTGCCCTCTCCCGCGCCTTTCTCGTCCTCCGGCACCTTCATCTTCTTATTCCGCTTCTTCTTCTCCCCGGCCTGACAACCCTCCACACCGGCCATGTGTTAGAGCAGAAGATACGCCACACCCACCGCCAGAAGTGACGCTAGCCAGGAGGAGGAAGTGGGCGGAGTAGGGAGATTATACACACAGGCTCGGCTATGTATTTCTATGGTAACCCGAGGAGGCGCTGATTGGCTGGGGGACGGAGCGTGGTCTAGCTGCAGAATGGAGCTCCATTTTTGACAGGAAACACGTGACCTCCACCCTCCTTTTTGTATAGTAAACTTTAATGTAACAAACAAGCAGAGACTGCAGAGTGGAGCTGTACTCACAGGAAGCGTCACCTCCACTCCACCTTTTTATTTAAAGCAGAGCTCCACCCAAAAGGGGAAGTTCTGCTTTAAGGATTGGTCCCCGCTCCCCATTAAGGATTGGCACCTTTGGGGTGTGGGGGGACCAGCAATTGACAGGTACCCGCTCCCACTGTGATCACCTAAGCAATCGGAAGTGGAGGATGTCCTCCCCCCAGAGTCTCTACCTCATCCCTTGATTTATTTCAGGTACTCATATAGCGCCGTCAATTTACGCAGCGCTTTACATATATATTGTACATTCACATCAGCCCCTAACCCTCAAGGGGCGTACAATCTAAGGTCCCTAACTCACATTCATACATACACATATTAGGGACAATTTAGACAGGAGCCAATTAACCTCCCAGCATGTCTTTGGAGTGTGGGAGGAAATCGGAGTACCCGGTGGAAACCCACGCAGTCACTGGGAGAACATGCAATGCAAACTCCAGGCAGGTGGTGCCATGGTTGGGATTTGAACCAGCAACCCCAGTACTGCCAGGTGGAAGTGCTAACCATTTAACACTGTGCTGCCCATATTTTAAACCCGAACACATATTAACCGCTTCCATACCGGGCAATTTTACACTTTCCTGCCCAGGCCATTTTTCAGGTTTCTGCGCTCTCACACTTTGAATGACAATTGCGCGGTCATACAACATTGTACCCAAACTAAAATTTTATCATTTTCTTCACACAACTAGAGCTTTCTTTTGGTGGTATTTAATCATCGCTGGGGTTTTTATTTTTTGCTAAATTAACAAAAATTTTGAAAAAAATAACACGTTTTTCTTTGTTTCTGTTATAAAAGTTTGCAAATAAATAATTGTTCTTCATAAATTTAGGCCGAGATGTATTCTGCTACATGTCTTTGGTGAAAATAACCCAAATTAGGATGTATTATTTAGTTTGTAGGAAAGTTATAGATTTCACAAACTATGGGATATATCTGAATATTGATCAATCCTGAAGTACTGACGGCCAATCTAATTTCTTGAGGTCCAAGAATGTCAGAACAGTACAGATATCCCCCAAATGACCCCTTTTTGCAGAGTAGACATTCCGACGTACTTCATAAGAGGAATGGCGAGTTTTTTGAAGTTGTATTTTTTTGTCATAATTTTTCAGAAAATTAAAAAAAAAAAAATTACTTTCACTATTTTTTTTACATACTGTCACCAGTGCAGTACAGCGTCATCATATAACTGGCATGGCGGTGTTCAGGGACACTGACTGGTGACAGTATGAAAAAAAATATATAATTTTTTTTTTTTAATTTTTTATATTATTTTTAATTTTTTATTACATTTCTTTTCTTTTTTTAAGATTTTTTTTCATATTTCACTATGACCAAAGTAGTAAAATGTTACCATAGTAACATTGTACTACTTTGGGGAAGTGATCAGTATTTTTTTTTTTTTTTTTTACACAATTTGCTTATAGCAAAGAATTACTTTGCTATAAGCAAGGATTTACCTGAATGACATCGATTCATTCAGGTTTTTTTTTTTTTTTGTGCTTAGCTGTGATTTGGCCACGGCTAATCATATGACACAGCTGGGCTGTGATTGGCCCAGCTTGTGCATGTGATTGCTGTGACCATTCACAGCTAGACACACTAGTATACAATGGATGGCATGAATAAAGCCATCCATTGTATACAACTGTCATGTGACCTGCTGTGCTTGGTCACAGCAGGTCACATGGTACCCTCAATGGGGCTGATACTCAGATCTGTCATCGGCAATGTCCGAGGTACACGGCCAGTGACAGATCGTGCCGCTGCGCGGCTCTGCAGGTGTGCAAACTGCGCATGCCCGAAAGGACGCCATATGGCGTCCACCCGGAAAGGTGAGGGTTTTTGCCGGCCGTCATTCGGCCATAGGCTGGGCGGGAAGTGGTTAATTACCCAAGTTCTGGGGCTGATTTAATGCAGATAACGCACTAGGTGAGTTTATTTGCCAACTTAATCAGCCCCGAAACCTGTGTCATTAAGGTGTGTAGGGAATTAAGGGATGACGTGGTAACTCTACCTCGTACATGAAACTGAGCATGTGCAGAGTGACTCTGTACTATCAGTAGATGGATTGGGGACTGTGGAAGAAGGGGAGGATCAGACAAGACAGGATCAAACAGCCTTTTTACACAATACGGAGGATTAACCCCTTAGGTTCCACAGTGAGTATAACAAGCATGCTTTACTGCATATACAGACTGATTTTACTGTTGTGGGTTTAGTAACACTTTAGGGTAAAAAAGATTTAGGCATCATTAACCTCCCTGCACCCCTTTTACTTACCTGATCAAGTGCTGTGCATGTCTACAGCTCTTCTCTTCCCTCAGTTCAGGGTTCACTGGCTTTGCTGGGGCATTGTGAACCACTAGCGTCCGCTGCTGTGAATCAAAGCAAGTGATGAGGGAGCTGGGGGCTGGGCCGAGCGCTGTTGTCTATGTCAATGGACACAGACAGTGAGCCCGCACAAGTGCCCCCATAGGAAGTGGCTTCCTATGGGGGCACTGGAAAGAGGAGCCAGGAGTGATGGCAAGGACCTGAAAAGAGGTGGTTTAGGGGCCACTTTGTGCAATCCCATTGCACAGGGCAGGTAAGCATGAACCTTTTTTTTTTTTAATTAGGTTTTACAACCACTTTAACCACTTGCCCTCCAGAGGACTTACCCCCCTTCTTGACCAGGCCATTTTTTGCGATACAGCTCTGCGTTACTTGTTACTGACAATTGCGCGGTCATGCAATGCTGTACATAAATGAAATGTATGTAATTTTTCCCCCACAAATAGAGCTTTCTATTGGTGGTATTTGATCACCTCTGCGTTTTTAATTTGTTGTGCTATAAACAAAAAAAAGCTGAACATTTTGAGACAAAAACAATATTTTTTACTTTTTGCTATTAAACATGTCCAGTAAAAAAATTAATCATAAATTTAGACCAAAATGTATTCTGCGACATGTCTTTGCTAAAAAAATCCCAATACATGTAAATTAATTAGTTTACGTGAAAGTTAAAGTGTCTACAAATGGCGGTGTATATCCTGGTATTCTTGTTTTACTTGTAATGGCAGCGATCAGCGACTTGTGGGACTGCGGTGGGGATTCTGACACTGGGTGGGAACTAATAAGTGATCAGTGCTAAAAAAAACACTGTCACTGTACTAATGACACTGGGCAGGAAGGGGTTAACATCTGGGGCGATCAAAGGGTTAATGATATGTTGTGTTTTACATAGTGTGCTGTGTGTGATTTACTGTGTAGACAAACTGCTTTGTATTGCTCTGCTGTGCATGAGGTGATACCTGGACCCTACAGAGGCTGCATAGGAAGTCCAACTCCTCCAGGATGGCACATCAGTACGTGCCATTGCCAGGTTTGCTGTGTCTCCCAGCACAGTCTCAAGAGCATGGAGGAGATTCCAGGAGACAGGCAGTTACTCTAGGAGAGCTGGACAGGGCCGTAGAAGGTCCTTAACCCATCAGCAGGACCAGTATCTGCTCCTTTGTGCAAGAAGGAACAGGATGAGCACTGCCAGAGCCCTACAAAATGACCCCCAGCAGACCACTGGTGTGAATGTCTCTGACCAGACAATCAGAAAGACTTCATTAGGTTGGCCTGAGGGTCCAACGTCCTCTAGTAGGCCCTGTGCTCACTGCCTGGCACCATACAGCTTGATTGGCATTTGCCATTGAACACCAGAATTGGCAGGTCTGCCACTGGCGCCCTGTGCTTTTCACAGATGGGAACCGGTTCACTCTGAGCACATGTGACAGATGTGAAAGGGTCTGGAGAAGCTGTGGATAATGTTATGCTGTGTTGTAACATGGTTCAGCATGACCGTTTTGGTGGTGGGTCAGTGATGGTCTGGGGAGGCATATCCATGGAGGGATGTACAGACCTCCACAGACTAGACAATGGCACCCTGACTGCCATTAGGTATCAGGATGAAATCCTTGGAACCATTGTCAGACCCTACACTGGTGCAGTGGGTCCTGTGTTCCTCCTGGTGCACGACAATGCCCGGCCTCATGTGGGGAGAGTATGCAGGCAGTTCCTGTAGGATGAAGGAATTAATACTATTGAATGGCCCCCATGCTTGCCTGACCTAAATCCAATAGAACACCTCTGGGATGTCATGTTTTGGTCCATCCAACGCTGCCAGTTTGCACCTCAGACTGTCCAGGAGCTCAGTGATGCCCTGGTCCAGATCTGAGAGGAAATACCCCAGGACACCATCTGTTGTCTCATTAGGAGCATGCCCCGACATTGTCAGGCATGCATACAAGTATGTGGGGGCCATAAAAACTACTGAGGACCATTCTGAGTTGCTGCAATGAAATTTCAGCAAAATGGACGAGCATGCTGCATAATTTTTTCACTTTGATTTTCCAGGTGTCTAGGAATTCAGTCCTCTGTAGGTTGATAGTATACATTTCCATCAAACGATGGGGCGTCCTTACATTCCTAACACGTTTCCCAGTCCATATCAGTATAGATGTCCAGCAGGAGATTTTTCCTCATTGAGATCTGATGTGTTTTCAAAGTGTTCCTTTCATTTTTTTGAGCAGTGTACAATCTCCTTTAGATCCACCAACAACTATGTAGTGGAAGGGACTATCTTACTGGATACAAATTGATTAGATAGATTAGGAAGGCCCATATAGTACATAGTATTAGTACAGCTAAAGGTTGACTGTAC